CCTGCCTGCGACCCCTTCCCTCCGTGTCCCCCACACCCACCCCCGCCCAGTCACTGGCCAAACCTCACTGATTCCATCCCCCACATGATGCACTTACAGCTCACCCCGGTCCCCAACCGGCAGTACTGGGTGACTCCCGTCCCTGCGGGAGGCCTCTGTGCCCCAGTTCTGCTCCCCTCAAATGTGTCCCTTGCAGTGAATCTGAAGCTGTATTTCAATGGCCCATGTTTGGTCCCTGCTGCCCCGCTGCGCTATCCCCTGTGGTGACACCCCATGGGTGCTCGCCTCGTCCTCCGCGCCACGCTCCCGCCACGGCCGGGCTTCGGGCTCCTCCCTGAGCCGTGTCTGCCGCAGGCCGTGGCACGTCTTTCTCTGGAGCGCTCTTCCCCCTGTGCCGGCTGAATTCCCGCTCATCCCCGAGCTTGGCTGCCACCTTGCTGGGTGGCGTCTTCCTATCCCGAGTGTGAGTGAGCGCGCACATGCGCACACGTGCTTTTACCACAGAGGTGGATTCACTCTTCGCGTGCTCTCTTTGCAGCTCACTTTCTTCAGTTCATGGCGCACAGCTGACCTTTGCCACTTGCCCTTGCCCCCCGGGTGAAGGTCATGAGGGTTGCCCTTGACTCCAAGTGTGGCAGTAGGTATTTGCAGCCCACCCCGCTGATAGGTGCTGGAGCTTTCTCCTGCCCTGTTACAAGGAGCCCATCCTTGTACTGTGCGGCTCGGGTCAGCCTCCCGAGGACAGTTCTGCAGGTGGATTGCTGAGCAGAGGGTCTGCACATTTGGAAGACTCGAGGTCCACGCTGCCAACTTCCCCGCTGAAAGGCTCACGCTGTTTCCACTCACCGCAGTGGCATGGGAAAGAATGGCACTCTTCTAGGTGCTTGATGCTTTTTTCCTTTCTCTTTATTTTCTCATTTTGAAATCCAACATGCTAAGATGTCATGTTGCTACATCTCACTGTGAAATGCGACAGCGGCATCATCAATTCTGTTAAGGCCAACTATGCAAATAAATGGCAGGTGGCTGATCCTTCCCCTGTGGAGGTGCTGGGGTGCACGCTAGGCTCCAGGCAGGGGCTCCGGCAGGTGACTTCCGTCTCCCAGGTCATGGCCTCTGCTCCTTTCCTCATCCCGCCCCCCCCGAGTCTGTGGGGCTGGGAAGGTCGTGTGTGAAAGTGCTCTGTGAGGAGGCGCGCACACACAGCACACCTCATGCATGTCGGAGAGGGGACGGGGAAGGGTGTTACACATGCCGGTGTGTGCTGAGTCCCAGCCAGCCTGTCCCCGGGACGATAGCACTTAGAAAAAAAAGTGGCTCAGGTTGGCAAGCGCCAGAATGAGAAGAGAGAAAGAACAGCAGCAAGGGCTGAGATCTGCCCAGGTCCATCCTGAAACTGGCCAGGAGCCCTTGGACGCCTGACAAGGGTCCCACTTGCCTCTCATGCTGGTGTTGGCTTTCCTGTTCTCCCCTTGGGTGCAGGCGAAGAAGACCATGGGTTTTGTCCACCCTGATACCATTTGTTCTGGAAGAAGCGTGGGGGCCTTCCAGCTGAGTGTCTCACTGTGTCCGGTGCGGCTCTGGAACACAGCAGCGGCTGGTGCATCAGCATCAGCTGTGCCATCCCCCCTCCCCCCGCACACTCACTGGGTGTCGGTCTGTCTCCACCGCACAGATCTGCGTTTCTGTGCCAACTTTGCACTTGCCTTGTTGCTGAATCATTTCATGGCTCAGCATATCTGAGAGTAGCATCTCTCCTTCCCGATAAAGCCACCAGCCAGAGAGCAGCAGCGGTTACTAGGTGTGGAGTTCACTTTGTGGCAGTTGAGTGGTTCATCTGTGGGAACAGGTGAGGCCCCTTGTCCTTCTGGTCTCTTGTCCTTCGCTCTGGGCGTGAGGGCTGTGCCGGGAAGACACAGGGCCGCCAGGGCGGTGAGAGCCACACCCGGGACTGTGCAGGGTGTGACTTCAGGCTCAGACTCCTGATGAGGCCGGCCTGTCTCCCTTGCCCGTCGGGGAGGCTGGTGGGCTCAGGGGGTAACGTTTCCTTCTCAGCCACTTTGTTTATGGCCATGTGCGTGTGCGGGAGGGGGCCACGTATGTGTCTGTGTCCTTTTGAAAAGTAGTCTTAAAATTTGCCATCACATTTAGGGTCGGATAGGTTGCTTTAACAACAGCGATTTTGCCAGTTTCTCCTTTTATTCCCACTCATGTGACATTTGCTAAATAATGACACAAGCACACAGGTGGCAGAGGCCCCTGGTCCACCGCGGGTGTGCAGGGCGCAGTGTGGCGTCAGGGGCAGCGGTTGGCCCGCCCCGCCCCGCCTGGAGCATTTCAGATAAGCTTTATTTGACCTTGTGTTTAACTTGACAGTTATCACAAGTAGTATGTTAACTGCATAGCAAGAAAGATTTGTTACGAGGCCAGTGGTTTGATGACAGAGATGACCCTTCCTAATGGTGGGTGGGGCACTCGGGCACCGGGGAGAGACAGAGAGAGACAGGCTACATGGGGGAGAGAATTTAAATAAGGGAGAGGCTCCTTATAAATAACCTTTTTTAGGAAAAAAGGAAAGTGAAAAGGAAATGCGGACAGCTATTGTTTGTCCTTGGCCATTCATTGCTCATTTATACTTCTAGAAGGGGTTCATTTTCTTCTTCCAAAGTTTACAGAAGAAATAGAAAATTGGAAGTATTTAATAATGTTGTCATTTTTTATTTTGCAACTTGTTATACTGTATTTTCAAGAATGGAGTAGCTTCTTTTAAAAAAATTAAGAAATATGAAAACAGATAAACTATTGAATTTCCCTACCTACCGTCCAGTGGAAGAATTAGCCACTGTAGACTCCTCTGAAGCCAGAGCTGGTGAAATTAAAAACTTCTGAAATTCTTAACTTGGGAACTGAAAAGGGAGATGGGAGGAAAATAGCCCTCAGAGGGGGCGTCGTGCCAGAGCCGCGCTGGGCCGCAGGGGCCACGCGCGGTGGCGGCGGGTCTGGATTAGCGCCATGTCCCTGGGGCGCGCATGGTTTCCCGGGGCACGGAAGGGGTGTCCTAAGATCTCCTTCACGCGCCTTTATCCTGATGGATGTTGAAGTGGTAGCGTTCTGGATATGTTGAGTTAATAAAATGTGTTATTACCTATGTTTGCCTCTCTCTCTTCACTTTTTCACATGGCTGCTAGAAAACTTAGAGTTGCAGATACGCTTGTGTTAGTGGCTCATGCGGACCCCGCTGTCGCGATTCTGAGTGGCCTCACTGGGGAGGTGCTCTGTGACCTTGGGCACGTCCCCCGCCTTCTCACCACTTTTACCCTACGTGGTGCTAGAAAAGTAAGACAAGAAAAAGAAATAACAGACACAGTGGAAAAGAGAAGTGAAATGGTCTTTAATCACACATGTAGAAAAGCCTAAGAAATCTGCAGCAAGCTACTAGATAGAACTAATAGGCAAGTTTAGCGAGTTTATAGGATGCAGGTCAGTGTAACAAAATCAACCTTATTTCTGTACACTAGCACTGGACAATTAAAATCTATAGTGAACACCACTTATAATAGGGTAGAAAATAAGAAATTCTTAGGGATAAATAAAACCAAAAATGTGCCAAGAGAAATGAAAGAAGACCTATATAAATGGGGAGCCATACTATGTTAATGAACCAGAAGACCTAATGTTAATAATACGTTATTCTACCGAAACTGACATATAGATTAAGTGCAGTTGCATCATAACACTGGCAAGTTTCTTAAAAGGAATTTATATGCTTATTTTAAAATTTACATGGAAATCTAAAGACCTCGCCTAGCCGGAATGATTTTGAAGAGACAGAAGACGACCTGGTTTGAAGGCTTCCTCCGTTGCTTCAGTGACCCAGACGTTGTGGAAAAGGCCAGCCTGGGGTGGACCGATCCCAGACACGAACCCGCACCTCCATAGTCAGTGTCCAGCAAAAGTGCCAGTGTGATTCAGTGAGGAAGTGATGGCATTTTCAACAAATGGCGCCATGATTATTGGACACTCATATGCAGAAACAATGAACCTTTGTCCTACTTCTTCCCACTTTATAAAAATGGATCACAAACCTAAGTGTGAATGCTAAAACTAAGATTTATAGAAGGAAAATCACACACACAGCAGAATACGGTTCAGCCTCAAAAACAAATATGCCTACAGCACGAATGAACCTGGAGGACATCATGCTGCGTGAAATAATCAGGTCACCAAAGGTCACATACTGTGTGATTTTACTCATGTGAGGTCCTAGAGGAGTCAGATGCTTAGAGACAGAGGAGGGTGGTGGGCGCCAGGGGCTGGGGATGGGGGGCGGGGGGCGGGGTGGGGACTGGGTTTCAGTTGGAAGATAAGAGGTTCTGGGGATGCACGGTGGTGGCAGTGAATGTGCCTAATGCCACTGAGCTGTGCACTTGGAAATGGTTAAAATGGTGAATTTCATGTCTCTTTTACCACAATTTAAAACGAACAGAAACAAGGACTAAAGGTAGCCAGTGGGCTTGGGGCTTTGCCTTTGAGTCGCGGCCTTGGGTGGGCTGGAGCGAAGGTGGGCTGTCCTGGACGGGGGCTCCCCGGGGTGTGGGAGGGCGCGAGAGTGCGGGTGAGGTCAGGGGAGCTGCTGTTCTGGGAAGGGCAGGGCCTGGGGGCTGTTCGGCTCCGCGCGCCTGGCAGGAGGAGCCCCCCTTCAGCTGCTCCCGAGAGCCTGCGGGGAGGTCGAGGTTGCTCTGCCGTCCTTCCTGGGGTGTGCTCATTTGAGAGCCATCTGTGGGGCCTCTTTATCAGGCAGTGGCAAGTAACGGCTTGGCGAGGCCCGGCTAGGCCACGCCCCTGGTGGTCACTGAAGGTAGTGGAATATTCAGTTCACAGGGAGATCTGGTTCACTCATAAGTTTATCATTCAGGTCAGTGTCCCTGATGTGCAGGGGTGTGGTCACCAGGAGTCTTCCTGCAGAAGGAAGGACATGTGTTTGTGCCTTTCACTTTCAGGCCTTCAAGGTGGAAACCTCTAAGGACGGTCTCTTCCACGGGCTGTGCTGATCCTGGGCCTCGGTGAGTTAGAAGCAGGCGCCTGGCCTTCAGTGGCATGTGTGTGCTCGTGTGTCCGTGTGTGCATGTGTGCCCTTGCGTGTGTTTCTGTTCCCTGGCGCAGCTCTGGAGTGGGTCCTGCCCTGTGATGTGGTCCTGGCTCTTGCTGGCAGATGCAGAAGGCCATCTGCCTTGAGAGCCAGGCTCACCGAGCTAGCTTTGGTGACATTGAAGGGACCTTTTGGGGGCACAATTGGGCCTTAGTGCATGTGACTGATTTTCTTAAAGGGGTATATACTTTGAAATTTTTTTACAACCAAAGGATATTTACTGATCAGTCCCCGTTTGTCCAGAATCCAAATGAAGAAGCTCAGGTATGTGGCCTCGACCTCCTCTGTTCCTTCCTGCAGAGATGAGCTGGGGCCCAGGCTGCAGGTGCTGCTGGCTCCCAGGGTGTCCCCGGGCATGCAGCAGTGGGTGTCACCGCAGCAGAGCTGGGCGTGGCTTTGCCAGCAGACCCCGAAGTCTGAGAGTCTCTCTGAGATGGATGTAGCTGCCCAGCTTAGACGTCCAGGGTTGGCATGTGACCCCGAGGTCTGCATGCACGCCTGCCAGGAGGGGGCCTGTCAGCACGGGGCGGCCGGCTCCTGGGGTCGCCCCCCTCGGGGCCCAGCGATAACCAGCAGCCCTGGCGAGGGCACTGAGTCAGGGGTGGGAACAGGGGCACCTAGTCAGCAGAGCTGGGGGCTCTGTCCCCAGGCCTGTCTCACAGAGCGGCCCCCAGTCACCCCGACCCCCCCTTTCTGTCCTCTGTGTCCGGACTCCGGGCAGTCCGGGGCCCTCCCTTTGGGCCCCATGCTGACTGCCTCCCTTCTGCGCCCATACTCGTTCTCGGAATCTGCTACCATTGGGTGAGTGAGTGGCAGGTTCCTTTATGTTAACCACGCCTTGACAAGGCGGCCTCCTGCCACTTGTTCTTTGGGCTTGGCATCATCTCTCTTTTAAAGTGCCCTCTGTGAAGAGCAGGTCCCAGCCGCCATGTCTGGAAGTTGGTGTGTTTCACTCATAGTTGCCAGTTCGCAGGCAGGCGATTTAAGCTCCTGTGTAATAATTACAACAGTGCACTGATAGCTACTGTTTGGTAAAAACAAACAACTCCTGGGATATGAGTAGGACTGATGCAACCCGATGCCAGTCTCGCACTTTTTATATTTATAGTCACGACTCGTTTAAAATAATGTTGCTGAAATATATGAACTGAGCACTGGAGTAGTGCCTTCATTTTCAAATTAAAATCACTTTGTTGAGTGTCACTTTAGAATTAAGTATTTTCTTACACATGCCTATTTGGTAACTGTTAACATAAATGCGATACAAGTGGCAGTTCCCAGTACTCTGAGCTTTCATCTCCAACAGTCTGAATCAAAAGTGTATTTGCTTTGTTTGCTTGTTATTGATTTAATAGACAGCTTAGGGTTTCAACTGTTAAATTGTTGAGAGCTGCTATTGTGTGCAAAAGAAAATCGCAGCTACATTGTGTCCTAGGGCTGAGCTCTCGGTGCATTCCTTTCTTTGCCTGTCTCATCACCTGGCAATGGGCGGAGGTGCCTGGGGCTGCGGGGATTCTCTCTCACAGCTGCCTGGGGTGCCGGGCTGCAGGGGCTGTGGATAGCACCAGCGTGGGGTCTGTGAGGCACACAGCATCGTGCACAGCAGACACGCGTCCTCCACCACGGTTTGTTTGGGGATGGGGGAGTGGCCTGAGGTCACTAGTCATCCGCAGGACCTCTCCCAGAAAGAGAATTTGGGGAGATTGGAGATGGAAATCAGTCTGGTTTCCCTGGCTTTGGGGGATAGAGCCCTCACTGTTCTGTAACAGCTGAGGGCTGGGAAGAAGGAAGGGAAAAAAGGAACAGCAAGTTGGAGGCATTGTGCTTTTTAGGAATAGTAATAGCCACAGGGCGACCCCCAGATCAGATTTAGAACCCAGCATCTGGTGGAATGAACTCACAGTCACATAGTGAACCGCCTTCAGTTATAAATGCACAACTTACCTTTTTACAGAGGCAGGCAAGAGACAGCAAAACTGACCAGCAGCCCCCCCCCCCCGCCCCCCGCAAACCAGTGATGATCAAAACTGAAGTAGAGCAAAGCACTCATTCACGGCCTGAGAGCCTCTCAGAAGATGTCCAAACGTCTGGTGAACTTCTGCAAAGTTGTGCAACTTAGTCGTCAGAGCAATGACAACAAAAAGCCGCAGGCATGGTGTCTGTGCAGCCCTGACGGCCACTGAAAGGGACAGATAGGGGGGAGCTCACGCACTGTGGCGGCGGTAACTCGGTCCAGTCGCTTCGGGAAGCCTTGATGATGGATGGTGCGTGTGGGCTCTGGGCTGGGCACTTTGAGAGTCCCTCGTCATTCAATTCTCTTCCCATCTTTGTGGAGCAGATTTTATCATTTGGGTTTTCAGATGAGCGCATGGGCTCAGGGTAAGCGTTTCACCTATGCTTACGCCCCAAGGGGCCACGCTGGCTTCGGAGCCCCTCTGCTGTGCCCCGGCTGGGAGCGCGGCCATCTTGTCCCTGGCCTGTGCCAGCCCGCTGGCCGGCAGGGAGCAGCTGCTGCCCAGGGCCGGGAGGACCTCAGCCGGGCGGAGTGCGCTGTGGACACAAGGCCCTGGCGGCTGTGTGCTCCCGAGACTACGCTCAGCTCGGCCTCTTGGGCAGCCGGCGTGAGTAGTCCCTGTGCTCAGGGCCCCTTCGCTGGCAAGTGGTGGGATAGATCGTTGCTCCTCTGTCACTGTTAGAGCAATTTGAGCTCCTGCTTGTTTTCCACTAATATTTCTTTCAAGTTTTAAGAGGACGTGAAGGTTTTCCTTAGTCTCTCTTAGGCACTAACATTGGAATGGGGCCTGTCCCCTGTGCTTATTGCATGGGCTCCTCTCTCCTCCCTCTGCCCGGGGGTCAGGAGCTGGCTTCCCGCCTTCCTGGCTGGCTGTGGGCGTTGTTTCCAGAGCTTCCAGGCTGGCCCTGGACCTTGCTCTGCGCATCTGGAGGGTGCGATGGGATGGGGAGCAGGGGACCCCTCTCCTGCAGGGAGTGTGAGGGTGGAGAGAGAGTCCCAGGGAGACCAGGACTGGGGACCTTCGGGAGACCCAGAACACATGCTGGGGAAGGTGGAGCTGGTGTGTGACGTGCTGGTCTCTCATGATTAAGACAAGCAGCGTCCCCTCTGGCCGGGATCCCACTGTTTTGTGAATTCTAGAGTGCGGGGAAGCCCGAGGACTTGCGGGGGGCAGGGTCAGTGCTCCCAGCCCCTTTCTGCAGGACCAGGGTTTGGTCCGCGGCCGCAGCGGGCGTTTGGTCCAGGCGGAGGCCAGGCTGGTCCTGCGCTCCCGCCGCTGTGTGTGCTGCGAGCCCCCGGGGAGTACGGCCACCCCCCACGGCTCACGGCTGATGCGGCCTCAGCCCCAGGGCCTGGGTGGGTAGGGGTCGGGGGAGGCCGGTGCGTTTGCCACCGCTGCCTGCCCGGCGCCCCATGTGGCTGTGTTTGAGCTTCTACTTGCTCTCTGAACAAAAGGGCTTGGACTTCAGCAGGACAGCTTGTGTGTAGAGAATGCGTATCTTCTGCAGTGTAAGCTCTTTTCCTTAAAAAAGCCCCAACCTTTTCGGTGTTCAGGGTGACTGGTTAAGCTGTCCTCGCCACTGCCCAGACAAAAGGTGCGGGCTTGGTCAGCAAGCAAGGTCATTTCTTTCTTACCATTTATGTTTTTGTTATAGAAGTGATATGTGCTTAATAAAAATTAAATGCAGAGCCAAATTTAATAAATAATCAAAATTTCCTTCACTAGTTCATCCCGGATCCCATGCTTTTTCCTGGAGGGAAGGCCCATTACTGGTTTGTGGCTTATCCCTCCAAAGCCTGTAAAAACACACCTAAGGATGGACAGACACACACACAGCTTCTAGAAACGTGTTTACGTCACAGTGCATGTCTGGGCACCTTGATGTGACGGGTCTGGAAGATTTTTTGTAGTAGGTCTGCCTCATTTTTTATGTATGTCCTAAAGAACATGGCTGGCTGTACCTGGAGCGCACACACACATTGTGAGACACGTCCGTGTGGTAGTGTCAGAGCGCAGGTCTCTGACGATTGCTTTATGAGGACCAGAGTGTGCTTTGAAGACCGGGACGCAGGTGTGGCTTGGCAAGGTGGTGAAAGTGACGCTGGTTCCCATGAGGAGGGACTGGCTGGGATCCTTTGACACCTTGGACAGTGTCCGTGAAGGGGGTGACGTTGGCCCTGGTGGCACTTCGGGTTCAGTAAGTGCCCCCTGGCCCAGGTGTTCGACCCCTGGGTGGCAGGCTTTGCCTCCTGCTGCTGTGGAGCCCCCTGTCTCTTTCTGTCCCTGGCCAGTGCTGTCAGTGAGTTGGCAGGGCTGCCGGCAGTCTTTTCATGGAGAGTGGCTGGACCAGGTTCCTTTCCCAGGGAGGAGCTTCTGTTTTCTGGAACATTCCACCCCGTGTTCTCCTCCTGGAGTCCACATAAAGCACTGTGTGCGTGCAGATTCACGTGCCTTTTGTTGTTTGGGTCGTGAGTGCTCATGGGCAGAGCTGCCTTTGTGCACACATCTAACATGCAGGCGCGGCAGAGGCCCCGGGTCAGCCACCATCTTGCCTCACAGACACCGCGTGCCTGGCCACTCCTTGTCTCTTGGGCACTAGAACGGAACACCGAAGCGCCTCTAGAGGGGCCGCGCCTGGGTGCACCAGAACCTGCTGTGCTGCCCGTTTGGCTTTGCGCTGAGGGCTTCCAGGTGGACAGGACCGTGGAGCAGAGCCCTGGGGGCCGCGTCCCACGCAGCCCGGTTTCTTAGCCGCCCTCTTGACTCGGCCCTTGGCATGGCCTGGGCTTTTCTCCCACTCGCTCCCATGCGGACTGAAAAGAGGAGGTGAGTCCATAGGCTGCCAGGGCCGAGCCGGGAGGGTGGTCCAGCCCTAGGCATCAACGGAGGGAGCCAAGCAGGCCTGGCACACGAATAAATGTCATGCACATGTGGCCTCTTCTCATTTTTAGTGCCCCTTTGCTCTCTTGCCTGTCGCTCCAAAGTGAATGCCTGTCCGGGAGGTGAACTGGCTGCTTGCGGACCCGGAGGACGGAAGGTGGCCGCCGTGAGTGGGGCAGCGTCCGTATTCTACCCGCAACCTCATGCAGCTCTCTGATTTTCCGATATGTGCCTCAAGAACTTCTTGGGTTTCCTGTGTAGACGATCATATCTGTGAAGGACAAAAGCTGTGTAACCCTTGTTTCTCTCAATCTGGCCTTATCGCGGTGGCCTGAGTGAGTCCCCGGGGGTGGGGTGGGAGCCTTGAGGGCGACGTCCTTAATTGTGAGGGGGGTTGAACTTCCTCGCCTGCCTTTCCTGAGTCCAGTGAAATAGTTGTGTTTTCTTCTTTTTTCTCTTATTGTCAATAATTAGATTAATTGTTTTTTGACGGTAAACTGTCATCATTGATTTTTTAACTGCATGGCTAGAGTTGGTCTGCTAATAGATATTTATTGCGAGTATTTGGTCTCTGTTCTTGCCGGATGGGTTTGGTCGTGCTGTTCCTGCCATTTCCTGGAAAGCCTCCAGCGTTTCTCATTCAGGAAATGCTGACTTTGGGGCTGGACGTGGTCGCCTCACGGGGGACTCTATAGTGGGTGTGTCACCATCAGGGGATGCATATAATGAGCGTATTTAGTGTTTTAAATTGCTTCTCCTTTATGGAGTGGTTTATGTTTTGAATCAGGAAATGAGGTTGGATTTTGTTAAATTACCTGACCTGCATTCTTCTTAAAGAAATATAATGAATTTTAGTAATAGGGTTCCCCCCCCCCCCCCATCAAACCATCCTTTTATTCATGGAACTATGTGTGTGTTATCTTTCTAATGTGCTGTTAGATTCTGTTTGCTAATTTTTAAAGGAATTTTTGTATTTATGTTCATAAGTAAGGAGCAGTGGTTCTCCAACCTTTGGTCTTTTTACAGTGTTAAAATATTATTGAGGACCCCAGAGAGCTTTTGGGTTTTTTGTATCTGTTGTGGCCCTCAGCTGGGGGACATTTGCTGGGAATGTTTTTTGGTTGATCTGACTGGTTGGGGTGGGGGCTGCTGGCCGGCACCAGGTAGAAGCCAGAGATGCTGCTACACATCCTACACGCATAGGACGGCCCCGCCACAAAGTGTCTGGTCCAAAATGCCAGCAGTGCCATGGTGGAAATCCCCTGCTGTCAATACATATACTATTTTAGAAATTAATGCTGAGAACATTTAGAAATATTTAGTAATGCATTTAAAATAGCAGCAATAGCTCTCTTCCATTTCTCCCGGGGTGAGGAACCAGGAGCCGCCGAGTCTCCCGGTGGCGACACCGTGTACAAGGCGCAGCAGGGATTCCGGCCCCGGGAGCCGCGCAAGCGCGGGGAGCGTTGGGAGACGGGGGAGCTGCAGATCAGCTTGAAGAACTGTGGCCCTCGGCAGGATGGAGGCTTCTTGGGCACCTCAGGCTTAAGTCTCCTCCCCACCCCAAGCTCTCCAGCGTGTCCTGCAGGACCAGCAGCGCTGTGACGAGGCCACGGCCGTGGACGTCTCCCATGCGGACATCAGGCTGCTGAAGAAATTCAGCAAGAATGAGACGCTGGCCGGGAAGTAGGAAGCCTTTTTGGCTTCAGAGCCTCTGACCAAGCAGGTGCCACGCATGCAGGGAGCAGGCCTGAATGGGGCTAGCAAGTTCCCCTCCTTGCTGACCCACGGCAGGAGCTTGGTGGTGAACGTTGGTGTGAAATCCACAATCGAGTTCCAGATGAAGAAGGTGGTGCGTCTGGTGGTGGCTCTTGGCCCCGTGAAGGTGACAGATGATGAGCTTGTGTACAACGTTCTCTTAGCTGTCGGTTTCCTGGTGCTGTTGCTCAAAAAGAACTGGCAGAACGTCCAGGCTTTATACGTCAAGAGCCCAGCGCCCGTACTAAGGCACAGCCTAACAAACCGTACTGCTACCACTTAAAAAAAGAAAAAAAGAAGCAGCAATTAACCCATTTAATGTTAACATAAATAACCTTTTTTATAAAGGAACTACATTTTTCTAAACTGAAAAAATGCAGTGAAGGCAGGGCATCGTTGAATATTTTTACAAGGTAATTAATCTGTTTAATATCTGACCTAGCGGGAGACGGCTGAAATGGCCTGCGTCTGCGTTGGTTGGAGGTGTCTAAGAAACTCCTGCCTCCCCAGCACACACTTGGGCAGCAGGGCTCCCAGGTGCCCTGACGGGGCCCTCCCATCCACCTGAGAGCCGCCCATGAGACGAGGCCCCGCTGCCTTCATCCTTTCGCTGCGAATGTAATGCCACACTCGCTTTGTAAAAGGCATTTGGAAGTTTTCTTTCTTTGTGGATGTTCTGGAAAAGGTTAAATAGTGTGAAGATAATCTGTTCTTGCAGGATTGGTGGAATTCTCTTGCGAAGTCATTTGGGTTTGGTCTCTTTCATTAGATACGGCAGATATCCCTTTTCATTCTGTAAGAATAGGTCTTTTCAGACTTCCCATCTTTCCTTTGTTCATTTTTTTTGTTATTTTTTTCCTCCTAGAAAAGTATCCACTTCATCTAGGTTTCCAAATTTATTTGCGAGGAGATACGCAGTTATTTCCATGATTAAAAAATATTTTCTTTTGATGGTTGTTCCCTCATAGGCATTTTATTCTCCTTTTTCTTGATTAGTTTTTTTATTGCTGTAGGTGACTTATCTGTTTTGTTGACTTTTTTAAAGAAACCATCTTTTACAAACATTAATTAGAATGCTTTTTCCTAGTTCATTATATTTTGCCTTTCCCTTTATTAATTCCTTCAGTTACTTTGTAATTTTCTTCTAATTTTTTGTATGGGAGGCTTAACTCTTTTATTTTCATGCTTTCATTCCTAAAGACTTAAAGTATTTAATGTAGTAAATTCTCCTCTGAGCACTGCTGTAGTTTTCTAGAAATTCTAGCGGGTTTGGCTTCTCCGTCCCCTGGAGAAGAACGGAGAATGTTTACATTTTGGGCGGGGGTGGGGAGGGGGGGGCTTTCGCTGTTTTCTGATTGTGTTATGAATTTCTAGATAATATTGTTTGTATTATAATCACTGTTTGGAATTTGTTGAATTCCAAACAGTGTTGTTTAATCTATGGACACTGTGAGTGTTTCCATGAGCGACTGGGAGAAGATACGTCCCTTCTAATCAAGTGCAGATTGGTTGTGTGTGTGCTTTGCGCCCACGGCGCCGATCTTGCGGCTGCATCTTCCTGTGTAGCCCTTCTTGCTTCCTGGCCGCTCTTCTGTCTCGGATGGAGATGTAGCAAAGTCTCTTACAGTCAGCGTGCTGTGATTTGTTTCTGTGGTATCCTTGTCACTTCTGCCTCATGAAATGTGCTGCTGGGTTATTTAAAGCCTGGATATAAAATCATGATGCTTCTTTAAGAATTTTAGTTCTAGCTTTATAAATATTCCTGGTTTGTCTTCTGTAGTGTTACTTGGCCTGGTATTTTATTCTTCGATACCAAGAATTCGAACCCTCTTTATTTGCATTTTTCCAATGTACATTTATTCATTGTTTTCAGCCCTGCTGACTTGCTTTGGTCAAGGTTATTTCTCTGCTAACCTGCCGAGTGGGTTTTGTTCTGTAAAGGGTTTCCCTTTTTTGGTAGGTGATCGCCGCCACTGTGAGTTGATCAGTGCTGTCCACGTGTTTGATCTGTGCTGTTGGTATTTGTGTGTTTGGGGGTCACAGGTAAAGTGCATGCCCACTCACGAGCATGCGGACAGTGCACGTGGCCTCTGCCCTTCGCCGTTCCCATTGTTCTGGTTGTGTTGTGTTGTGTTGTGTTGTGTTTGGTGGTTGACCTGCCAGCTGGGGAAGCATGTGTTTTGTGTTGGTGGTTACCTGACCCGAGCCTGGTACAAACATCATTCTATCAGATCCTTCTTCCCTCCTTTTGGAAAATATCTGTTGTTTCTGAACCAAGAGCGACAGTAAAATACCCCACGCCTCCCGTTCCCGGGGCCCGGCCTTCCTGAGCGCTCACCGGTGCGCCTCCTGCGCACCCGAGCTTTGCTCGCCCACCTTGTCAGCTGCGCTGCCCTCCTCTTCCCGCCGGTGTCTCAGAAGTGGCGGTGGGTCCTTCTGCCCCACCTCCCAACACGCCCTTGGGCTACCCGGTTGTCAGAGCACGGGGCGCTCAGCGCTCTCCGCTTAAGCTTCTTTCTCCAGGGAAACAAATCACACGTAGCTCATCCCCGGGCCTTGGCAGCTCAGGCGTGTCCCCAGCTCAGTCGCAGGCAGAGGTGTGGACTGTTAGCAAGTGGGGCCACTTGTTGCTGTGGCCCAGACCTGTTCATCTCTCCCAGACCTCTTGCTTTCAAGTTGATTTTACAATCTGATTTTGTTGTCCAGTATTTTTGAGTGGGTGTTTGTATGTATTTGCCTTTGATTTCGCTTCCATCTTTCTGTGACATACTTTTAGTTTTGTCTCTTGTAAATCCAGCAGATGGCTGGATTTTTAACCGCTGCTTATACTCACTGTGGTTACTAATATAGTTGGACTTTCTACTTGATCATCATCATTGTTAGTTACCATCCTTTCCTTTGCGTCCCTGTCCTCTCATGCATTTAACCTATTAAATCCGCTCATCTGTTTCCACCATTGGAGTGATACCCGTGCAGGGAGGCATGGGTGACTGCTTGAAGCTCGTCGCTGTCTCTTTCTTCCCAACTACTGCAAAGGCCTTAGAACCAGGGCGCTGGCTCCACAGTATTTTAAAACCCGCGTTTCCTGGGCACTTGCAGCACCATGGCAGTGTGTGCGCTGATGCCCACTCACCGTTTTCCGCCTCTGCCCCGGAGCGCACGGCCATGCGTCCTTATGAGATTGTTTCTCCATTCCAAGTGCCACACAGCTGTGATGCAGCAGGCCCAGCGGGCCCAGCGGGCGCGGGTCTGGTCCATGCTGACAATCGCCATCACCCCTCCCACACCGCTGAGCGTGGGGACCCTTCCCGAGGCAGCTTCCTGGACTGGCCAGCAGGTGTGCTGTTTTCGGGTCCATGCGTGTGTGTGCGTGTGTCTCCCTGTGTGAGGGTCGGACTCGGGGTGAGAGGGCACGGAGCTGCTGGTCCTGTCCCAGCCCAAGTGGCCCTGAGAACTTGATGAGACACTGGGCTTTATCAAAGTGATGAACAGCTTTGGCACGGTTCAGTTATTAGGAGCCTTTGACAAGTTTTCAGTGAATAATAAAACGAAGGGTCGATGGCTATCCTTTGTTAATTAGTAATTAGCTCCACGCTGCGGATTCTCTGAGCTGACTTGTCCAGGGAGGGTGTTTGTCGTTTTCTTGATGAGACTCTAACTTCTGCATTCCAGGGGCGAGGTCCACGGTGGGGAGGGTGGGCATGTCCTCCCAGCCGCAGTGTGGGACAAGCGGCAGAGAACATTCCCTGAGCGCCCAGAGACCAGCAGCAGGTATGGTGTCAGGACATCTTTTTACTGAATTCCCTGGATCTTGATGCCGTTTTTGTGAAGGTTTAACAAATACTGGATAGATTATTGTAAGAATCTGAACTTCTTTATTTGGGGTAAATGCTGTCTAATGAAGAAGATTTGCTTTTGGAAATTGCAATTCTTAACCCCACGGTCTAGGCGAGGAGCGGAAACATGTGCTGAGAGGGGAGGTTGGGATTGTCGGTACAAGGAGGAGGTATAGGGAGGAAGACATTCATGTGTGAATTTGGGCTTATTTTCTGTGGTGTAGGTACTTAACATAGTGCATGCTGGAAAAAAACACCATAACTAGCAACACATGTTCTTCAGAAGTCACATTGCTTATAAAGAAGCAGGTGTTTAAGGCTTCGGAGACCTGGATAGCTGTGAAGTAAAGACAGACATGGGTAAAGACATTTCCATGGTTGCTGGAAAGTTCCATTGGTCTTTAGTTTGGCACCTCGGAGTGCATGTGATTGCTGGTGAGCAGAGGACTTGGACTTGGCGAGGCTCCTGCAGGCCAGCCCCCAGGAAGGCGGCTCCCAGCGGTACGGGCGTGCAGGGCTGACCTTCCTGCCGCCGGGCAGCATAGGTCCTGTTGGGAAATTACCCACTTCAGCCGAGGGCCCAGCATGTGCCAGCGCCCCCCTTGCCGTTGAAGGGCAGGGGTGACTGACCATTAGACCTCCGTGCCTTTGAGGGAGGTGACACAAAGTAACGTGAAACGTGCTTGAAGTCCCACTTTCGACCCATTTGTTCTTCGTGGGTTTCTAGAGCCCTGGGGCCACATTTTAGTGGGCAGCCGGGGAGGCTAGGCAACCGTAATAAAGAAATAGATGTAGGAGAAATGCCAGAGGACCCTGCTGAGAGGGATTAAGTGGGCGTGGCAGAAGGATGGGCAGGGTGGTGCTGAAGGAGAGCAGGTGATCTGCGGCAGAGAGAGGCAGGGAGCAGACGTTCCCAGCAGGAGCAAGCCGGGCAGGCGGGCGGGCCGGAGCTGGTGGGGGCCGGTGGGCAGGCCGGTGCTGGTGGGGGCCGGAGGACGCAGAGAGCAGGCCCCGCAGGCCAGGGCGCCCGGCTTACTGCACACACGGGGCGCCTCTTGTCCTTCATCAGTCGGGCCACTGGGGCAGAGGCCTGGCCATGGCCCGATCCTCAAAGGGTGGAGAGAGCCCTGGCTCTACCACAGATCGCAGGGGACGAGAGTGGAGCTCGGGAGAGGTGATGGGGCTGGTGACAGGGTGGGCGGAGAGCAGCCAGGCTTGCTGGTAGGCTGAGTGTGTGTGGTATGTGAGCGTGTGGTGTGCATGTGGGATGTGTGTGTACATGTCTGTGTTTGCCTGTGTGTATCTACGTGTGCTCACCTGCGTGCGCGCTGACCTGTCTCGGGCTGACGGGCACGGCTGGGAGGAACGCGCTCATCCCCCGACTGGTCCTGAGCGAGGCCCTTTTCACCCGGAATTGTCCTTTTGGATTTGCATCTTAGACTTTATATGCTGCTGCTTGGCAATGCGACAGTCACCTTCGGGGACAAAAGGCTAGAGCCCAGGCACTGGCCAGGGTGCGGGCTCTTAGCCTCAGCGTTTAGCGGGACTTTTGGGGCATCTCTCTGCCTGGCCTTTAGCTGAGGCCCCAGGCTGGCAGCGCTGTCCCCATACCT